CTATAACTGGGGACCTTTTATGGAATTTACTCTTCAATAAATTTTAGGGTATATTTTGGGGCATTACAGTAAGATTTGATGAGTAGATCATTAGTAAAAAGGTATGATGTGATAGGTAGGGTATGAAAAAGTGAGGGGTAAAAGTGACTTTTTAATAGAAATAAGAAGTATTTTTTGGGACGGATAAAAAAGAAAAGAGAAAGATTTTCAGGGACGGAGGAAGTATCAATTTATCATATCTAAGGATAAAAATAAAAAATCAACTACAAAATGTACCCTCTTTAAATTTGCAAAAATTAAAAATGGAAATTGTTTTTTGAAATTGAAGAAAGTAAATGAAAATAGATAGGAAATAATAAGAGATGCTCTAATTTGGTCGGTGTCGCTTACGCACCTGCTTTCGTTCTATGTTCCTCCATTTTTTCATCTACAATTTGCGTAAATCAAGATTTTGCAACACCTTTCTTCGTATGCTTTTTATTGTTTCTAACTTTATTTCTAGATAGCAGTTTTCATACGGCGTTGTGATATCGTTGGGACGATGGCCTAAGCTAGCTAGTTTGAAGTTTAAACTCCGTAGTTAATTAGAATTTAGGATCCGTCAAAAACAACAGAAAATAGTGCCCTCAACTTTATTTCTAAATTTCTTACCAAGTACTACCTCCGTCCCAGAGTATTTGTCCACTTTCATTTTTGCACACCATCCAATACATTTCTTTAATCCATTTTATCTTGTAATTTGTATATTAAAAAATTATAGAAATTATTTATTAATAATCTATTTGTTAAGACAAATCAAACAAGATCACACATGACTATATTTAGGCTTACACATTGAGAGAATTTGATGAGTCAAAGTGCTTTGATGAACAGTTCCAAAAGTCAAAAGTAGATGAATATAACGGGACGGAGGGAGAATTTATTTTAATGGGATCAGATAAGTAATGTTATAATAATAATAATAATAATAATAATAATAATAATAATAATAATAATAATAATAATAATAATAATAATAATAATAATAATAATAATAATAATAATAATAATAATAATAAACACAAAGTATTGAAAAGATATTAAATAGTAAAATGTGAGTAGTTAAAATTTATTTTATAAAAAAGAAGTATTTTGGATGCAATATTAAAAAAAAGGTGAACGAAAAAGTAAAACTAACATGGTGTTACAGATAATCGTACGGATTACAATGGACAATGAAGATGAATGACCCTTGAAGATAAACGAATAAAAAGCATTACGCACTGGGACTACAAGACATTATCCCGTACTAGACTAAAGAAGCGAACTAGAACTAAGACAGTAAGGCCGTATTTCATACGATCAACTAAACTGAAGATGAGGGTCACTTCGAACGAATGTTTTGACGAACTTTGACAAACGAGATGTACCAAAATATGCTCTGATTGAGAACTTTCTCGCACATTGAAAATCTTAGAGTACATCCCACATCGGAAATCCAAGAATAAAAATAATTGGTATATAAGCTCTAGAGTTGAACTAACTAATAGATTGAATACAATCTTTTAATGTGGTCCAGCCCAATTGTCTTATTGCCCAATCTAGTGATCCATACCCCATCCTAAATTCTATTATGGTATCAAAGCCAGTTTTAGCCCACCTCGTTTGTAAAGGTGTCCGTCTAGACAAGCATTCCTAGCGGCCCGTTAGTCTTTAGCCAGGTTGTCCGTATGGAGGTTGTACCCAACGGCATGTGGCCTGTTTAACACGAGAATAGGAGTCAAGGGAATAGGAGTTCATTTGCAAGTGGTCAACCAGTTAGATTCAAAATGGCCCGGTTGTCCACTTGAGGGGAGTGTTAGAGTACATCCCACATCGGAAATCCAAGATTAAAATAATCGGTATATAAACTCTAGAGTTGAACTAACTAATAGATTGAATTCAATCTTTTAATGTGGTCCAGCCCAATTGTCTTATTGCCCAATCTAGAGATCCATACCTCCTCCTAAATTCTATCAGAAAAAGAAAAAAAATAACATATAACCCTAATGGTCTCTACTGTCATAACCACTTGATTTTATGATTAAACTCTACTGGGCCATGGCATTGTATTGGGCCTATCATGGAAATACGAACGAGCCAACGTTTTGACCCATCAGACTTTTAGCAAATAACTTCAGTCAAAAGGTGCTTTAGGCCCCGTTCCATTCAACTTATTTTTTCTTATTTTTTCTTATTCTTATTAAAATCAGATCAGATCAGATCAGACCAGATCAGATCAGATCATATCGAATCAGATCAGATCAGCTCAGATCAGAACGAATCAGATCAGATCAGATCAGATCAGATCCAATCAGATCAGATCCAATCAGATCAGATCAGACCCTATCAGATCAGATCAGATCCAATAAGATCAGATTAGATCAGGACTTATTATTATTATTATGATCATTATGATCATCATCATCATCGTCATCATCCTCATTATTATTATTATTATTATTATTATTATTATTATTATTATTATTATTATTATTATTATTATTATTATTATTATTATTATTATTCTTAAAAATGAAAAAGAATAAACTTTAGAAATACGTTAAATAAAAAGCTGAGAAAGTAATCCTTAATTATTAGTCGTCGGAAAAATTAGTTTTAAAATACATTGACAATGTCAATCTAATTCTACTTTTAAAATTTATTTTTATTGCTACTTGTAATTTGAGTTTCTAAAATTTTGATCTTTTATAAGGATGAGATATTTTAATAAAAATACTATCTCTTCTATATATTGATTATCTAAATTTAATTACTTTTAAATGTATATCTAAATTAAATATTTATTCTAATATATAATTCTAATTTTACAAAAAAATAATCATAAAATAAAAAATATTATTACATTATAATATGAATGATTATTCTAATATATGAATTAACTATTTTTATTTTATTAAAAAATAATCATTAAATAAAAAATATTGATTATATTATAATATGAATTTTCATTACAATTTTCAAATGTTATTATAAAGTCAAATTAAATTATTGATTTGAAACTTTAAATTAAATCATAATTAATCAGATCAGACCAGATCAGATCATATTAGATCCAATCAGATCATATCAGATCCAATCAGATCAGATCCAATCAGATCATATCAGACCAGATCAGATCAGAACTTATTAGAATCAGATCAGATCAGAAAAAATAAGTTGAACGGAACGGAGCCTTAGGGCCTGTTCTTTAGGACTGGAAAAAAAGAGCTGGAAACTGGAAGAAACTGGAAGAAACTAGAAGGAACTGGAAGAAACTGGAAGAAACTGAAAAAAACTAGAAGGAACTGGAAGAACTGGAAGAAACTGGAAGAAACTAGAAGGAACTGGAAGAAACTAGAAGAAACTGGAAGAAACTGGAAGAAACTGAAAAAAACTAGAAGGAACTGGAAGAAACTGGAAGAAACTGGAAGGAACTGGAAGAAACTAGAAGAAACTGGAAGGAACTGGAAGAAACTGGAATAAACTCAAAGAAACTGGAAGAAAATGAAAAAATTGAAAATAATTAAAAAAATTTAAAAGAAATTGAAAAAACTAGAATAAATTGTAAAACCTAAAAAAAGTTTTTAAAAAATTTTTGTGTGTGGTTTTAAATTATTCTCATTCTGATTCTTGTTGATATAAATTATTATTATTATTACTATTATTATTATTATTATTATTATTATTATTATTATTATTATTATTATTATTATTATTATTATTATTGTTGTTGTTGTTGTTGTTGTTGTTGTTGTTGTTGTTGTTGTTGTTGTTGTTGTTGTTGTTGTTGTTGTTGTTGTTGTTGTTGTTGTTGTTGTTGCTGTTGTTGGTGGTGGTGGTGATGGTAGTGGTGGTGTTATCACGTTATCCAAATGATTGTCTTTAAAAAAAATATTACGAATAATATTTTTCATACATAAAAAGATAGTTTAAAAAATTAATTAGAATATAAAATTAGCATAAATATCAAAATGTTAAATAGTTAAGAGTTATTATGGCTATGCTGTATTTATTATAAAATAATGTATTTGTAATTATATTTTATACATTACAAGATTTTGTATTAAATATCTGGCATGTCACATAATGTAATCAAACTTATTTTTTCTTTAAGGATTGACAATTTATTTCCATTGTAACCCTACTTTTTGAATAAAAACATAGAACTGGTATTATTCATATTAAAAAGTTGAAGAAAAAAAATAATGAATGTGAACCATAAAAATAGTGTGATGAAAAAATGAAATAATTTATAAACTATAGTTATGAACATAAAAATTATAATTAAAAAAATTGTAATAATAATCATAATTATAATAATAATATTTTTTTTTAGAGTGATTTGTCAGAAGGTAGAAAGAGTTTGAAGAAAATAAATATAGTTGGAAGAAATTAGAAGAAACTGGAAAAAACTAGAAGAAACTGGAAGAAACTGGAAAGAACTGGAAGAAACTGGAAGAAACTGGAAGGAACTGGAAAAAACTGGAAGAACTGGAAGAAACAGGAAGAAACTGGAAGAAACTGGAAAGAACTGGAAGAAACTGGAAAGAACTGGAAGTTAAGAGTTCAAGTCCTAAAGAACAGGCCCTTAGTGGTGAAGGTTTTTTTTGTGTGGATTAATCTTGCTAATAATGAGGAAAAATATAGAACTCCAATATGTTTACTACCCACACTGTCCTTGAATACTTGTCCATTTTTTATTTTTTCGGTCAAAATTGATAAACTTTAACCTCAAATTAAATAAAAATTATACTAGATATTTATAAAAAGTAATTTTATTAGATATATTATATCAAATATTTTCAAAATATTATATTATCTAATTAATATACAATATACGGAGTATACTTTATATAATTATAAAAAAATCAAAACTGGACAAAAAAATAGTTTTATCACCTCTAATAGTCACCATGTCCTGATATTTAATTTAACAAATCGTTACGACATTACGGTAACTAAAAAGTCAAAAGCGGTAGAGCTCGGGCTAAATTCAAAAGGCTCTCCACCCGTTTGAACATTTATTTTTTGAAAAGCGTTTGGACATCATGCCGGAACTTGTTGATATGGCTACGTCGTTAGACCGGAACCGCATGTTTGTCTTGGCTGATTTGAATTTTGAATGGGTCCGCGCGCACATATATAGACGCCCCCTTTGGCCGGACTAGCCCACTGAATTGTTTGCTCCGCAGAGATGGCTGGCTCCAATGATCGTCGTAACGCCAGAGTCGGCATTCTTATTGTTTCAGTAGTTCTTGGAATTATTATTTATGCCATCGTTCAAAGTACTGTCGACGACGAGAATGAAGAAAAGAGGAAGCCGAGGCCGCAGTACTCCGTCACGAGCGCCGCGTTGTCGCCGGAAGCCACCGTCGCCGGAAACCTCTTGACAGCGGACTTCAGATTCACCCTCAAGGCCCACAACCCGAACAGGAAAAAGACCATTTTCTACGGCAACTCAACCAAGGTGACCCTTGATGACTGTGAGGGGTTCAGCGAGATCACGTCGTCTCCGCTCCCTTTGGTCGGCCCTTCCACGCTCCTTCCCGGGAATGACTCCACCGGCATCGCCGTCAATCTCCCCGTGCAAAACTGGCCTCTCCCAGAGGACACAGCATCCTGCGGCATGATCTTAACCATGGAGTTCCGGGCTGGGTTTAATCAGGAGGAGGAGGAATTGAAGCGTCCCCGGATAGAGGTCCAATGCTCCCCTCTCACCTTCAATTTTCAAACAAAGAACTTCACGGGGGACTACGGCACATGTTCAAGCTTTCCACTCCCTTAAAACAATTCCTCTTTTTTCCACTAATAATCTATTCATTACACAATTAAAAAGTCAACTACATATATAATGAATGCATCATGTTTGATTCGGATTTGAATCGGGCTAGATTTGTTTTGAATCGGTTCCATTGATTTGTATTTAAATTCATTTATGTAGTTATGTCATATTGTATTGTGAACTACTTTTATTGTTATTCTTTAAGTACGTGTATTTACATTTTATATTTTAATTTTATACTCCGTAATAAATTGAGACACTAATTTTTTAATTATTTTTTTAATACTAATAACTCTATTTCAATATAGTATATATGTTCATACATTTTGAATTAACCTATTATGACTCGTAAAGTTACAACCCGCACTGCAAATGGAACATGTGATCTCTTATTTGGGAGAGTCATAGCGGTGCCATTAGACTACAAGGTCCTTGGTTTTTAATTTCTAATTTATTACTTATTGCTTTTTTATTGTTAAATAGTATTTTGACCCGTGCCGGCATGTTGTGCACGAGTTCGAACAAAATTTTTGTCGATTCAAAAAATATTTTCCGAAGTACTGGAGTAATATTTTTTCGGATTAAATAAAATATAGTATTTCTAATACGATTTTTAATATTGTAGACACTAGCATCAAAGTAGAATATCTAACATACTCTCTATGTCCCTAAATGTTTATCACATTCATAATAAAGAGGTAAAATATCAAGTTTTTTCAATCCATTTATTTAAAAATTGGAATATAAATAAAAAAAGTAAAAGTATGATGTATAATAGGTAGGGTAGTGATTTGCAGTATAGAACGGGCAAAAATAACAACTAAAAAGAATCCCTTGTAAGTAGGGTGTCGAACCTCAGAGAGACGCGAGTTAATTTAATTTAAACAAAAGTTTACAAAAGAAGTTGTAAAATATTTTGGTTTTTTTGGTTTTAGAGATAAAATAAAAAGTGTAAAAGAAGAGAGTTCCAAACAATACAAAGTTTTTGATGTTGAAAAGTTAGGGGTAGAAATTAGTAAATTAATTGTCCAATGTTTTAATAAAAGTTGGATTGTCAATTTATTTTTATATAGAATGTGTGGAGTTGCAGAAAAGTATTCAGGGACGCTCTCGCACTTCCCCTAAATAATAACTACTCCGACTTTAACACACTAATGATAAATCCGGAGTAATTATTTAGTAGCAACGGCAACCATAATTATTTTATTGTATGTTTACCCAATTTAATGGTGTAAGAATACAACTCCATAATTATTTCCACCCGTAAGTCTTCAATCCCGGTTAAAGGTAGAGAAGGCTTACGGTGTATTTAAAAAGTGTTCTATTTTATGATTATATCAATTTTAGCTCATATTCCTTGTAACAATTATGTTTATGATTGGGCCCTTAATTAAAAATCACAAACATTTCAAATTTATTTATTTTTAAATACAACATCTAAGTAAAAATAAAATCAATAATCCATGTTTAAAATATTCAAAACATTAAGTTGGACAATTAATTACACCAACTTCTAACCCCAATGGAATTTAGAAGTTCATAGTTTGAAGCTTAAACAAATAAATATTTATTACAATAATAAAAATCTTACAAAATGGAAGATGTGTTCTTGAGCTCCAA